AAACTGGAGCAAGGAAATAAGAGTAAAAAAATACAATTAAATGGTCAAATTTAGTCCACAGAAAGCAATTACTTTGGGGTTATGAAGAGTAAATGTTATTATTGCAAAAGTCCCAGTCAAATATAGTCTTGGAAAATGCAATGTAATTATCATATAATTTATCCTACTCATTTTATTATTTACTGAGTGCTGACAATTTGCATGGAACATTTCAGTCCATAGAGGGAGATATAGGCCCAGATCTTCAAAATCTGGATCAGAGTCCCTCTTCAGAGGTGCTTAAAATCTAAAAAACAAATCCTGCAACTGAATCTACCTGGACAGACACCTGCCTTTATGATGGAGCCCCACTTGATGTGGGAATCCCATTGTAGGATCAGGGCCTAAAATATACAGACAAAAAAGTTTAGACAAGTGAAATGCTGAATCTGGCTCTTAGAAACATGGTTCTTCTTCCTTGGATATTGTCTTGTTTGCATGCTATATATCCATGATGCCAGCTGAGCTCTGGGGCAGTGTTTTGCCTCATCTGTTGAATGGGCTGGCTCTGCAGAAGCAGACAAAAGACACCGACTTTATACATCTATGACATATTAATGAAATCACTGGAATTGCCTGGGTGTGATGACATAACAAGCATGTATGACCTAAAAGGTGGATTTTGGGGTTGGTTATTTAAGATACAAAATGAGGGTTCTCCCATATACAGCTCCATTGAAATCAGTGGCTCATTGAACAGATTCCACTGAATGTGGCACTTATAATTTGGTAGGGAATAGCTTCTGCATGCTAATAATGGTTTGGCAGTTCAAATTTTAGGCCAAGAATGAATATCACAAGTGCAGTTATTGTTTGGTTGTATTTTTTCTTTTCTTTTGTCCCTTTTCTTTTTATTATTTGTACAGGTTTGATGCAAAAAAACAACACATATGCAATTTTGTGGAACACACAGATATTGGAACAGTGGGAGAGGCAGGCCATGAAGTTTTTTCATATACTGCTCATGCATTTGAGTGTGGATTTTCCCCAATTATCCATGAGTCGAACCTGCATTCTGATAAATAACCATATGGTCACTGTTCGAGAGGTTACATTTCCTCTGTACTTTCTAATCAATATGATGAAATCTGTTAAAATGTAATGTGAGGGAAAATATATTCAGGAATTTCTGGGAAGCAGCAGCACTTAACATGCTAAACAGATGTGTTTCAGCAAAGATGTTTAGCCATCTTCTGGGGCTAGGGAGAAAGATAGCCTGTCAGAAGTCTTACACTTACTGCAGCTTCAGTGGTACCTTCTGATGTGAAGGCACAACCTTTCAAATATGCAGCCAGGAATTGATATTTTGTGAACTAGCAGAAATGTCATTATGCTGTGATGTATTTGTTTTCCAACATGCTAATGAAAAATGTCCCAAGAAGAAAGAGAGCCCTACTGCAGAAGATCTCCATAGATCCAAATGAAAATGTTGGACTTTGGGAGCACACTATATATATAGCTTGCCCATGCTTAGTGCTATGATAGGAATAAATAATTGAATGCTTAGCTCTGTTATTTTCACAAGATTGGTCTGATTAATTTAGTTACAAATTATTTACATATCCCTGTATGCTAACTCAGTAATGGATAAAGTTGTTTTTCAAATAATGGGTATGATCAGTTTTGTGAGATTTGGAGAATGATTGGTTTACCCACTTCTAGCTGACGCAATGGAACTGGGGTAGGGGCGGGGGGGGGGGGGGTGAAGGTTGGACTCAGTTATGGATACCTCAGAGAACAAAAGCTCTACTAATATGTAAATAAAGTGTAGGACTACTATCCTTGAATCTTTGCAATGGGTCTTATAGCCTTCTATTACAAGGCATGCTACCTAGACTCCACCATTTGGTAAAAAAATAATAATAATGGAGATATATCTATCACATAGAACTGGAAGGGACCTTAATAGGTCATTAAGTCTAGTCCTTACCCTCATGGCAGGACCAAGTACCATGCCTGACAGATTTGCCCCAGCTCCCTAAATAGCCCCCTCAAAGACTGAACTGACAACTGTAGGTTTAAGCATGCCAATGCTCAAGCCACTGAGCTATTCCTCCCCCCACCTGTTTAAATGCTTTTCCTTGTTCTCACTTAGGACAGTTTTAGTATAAAAGTAATTTGAATTTGACTGAGTATTGGAGTACAGTTTCCTGGCTAAATGATAAGAAAGGAAGAGCCAACAGATGCCGTTGATTGGACCAAAGATATTCAAAATCATGAAAAGAATCTTGGGCTAATTAGGGCTGACAACAGTCTTCACTGGACCATGGATCCACTGTCTAGATCATCCCTGATAGACGTCTATCCAACTTACTCTTAAATATCTCCAGAGATGGCAATTCCACAACCTCCCTAGGCAATTTATTCCAGTGTTTAACCACCCTGACAGAAACTTTTTCCTAATGTCCAATCTAAACCTCCCTTGCTGCAGTTTAAGCCCATTGCTTCCTGTCCTATTATCAGAGGCCAAGGAGAACAATTTTTCTCCCTCCTCATGACACCCTTTTTAGATACTTGAAAACTGCTATCATCATGTCTCCTCTCAGTCTTCTCTTTTCCAAGCTAAACAAGCCCAATTCTTTCAGTCTTCCTTCATAGGTTATGATTTCTAGACCTTTTATCATTTATGTTGCTTTTCTCTGGACCTTCTCCACATCTTTCCTGAAATGTGGTGCCCAGAACTGGACATAATACTCCAATTGAGGCCTAATCAGCGCAGAGTAGAGTGGAAGAATGACTTCTCGTGTCTTGTTCACAACACTCCTGTTAATTCATCCCAGAATCAGGTTTGCTTTTTTTGCAACAGTGTCACATTGTTGACTCATGTTTAACTTGTTTTCCACTAAGACTCCTAAATCCCTTTCTGCCGTACTCCTTCCTAGACAATCACTTCCCATTTTGTATGTGTGAAACCGATTGTTCCTTCCGAAGTGGAGTACATTGCTGGGCCCAAGGGCAACTGCTCCCTTTGCATTCTCTGGTTCCACAAATGGGGGGTAAGATTTCATGTAGGCTGAGAGTGAGACTAGACCCTACGCTTCTCCTTACAGTTACCTATGCATTGGACTAGACAACCAAAAAGCATGCACTCATTTTCACATCCCCCATCACTAAATAACTACACATGTGGAGAGAGGAAAAAAGGCCTTTGGGTTAGATTGTCAATGAATTGTTGTCAGCTACAACAGTTATGCTTTCTACCAAGTGTTATAGAAGGGAACAATTGGTTGCTCTGCAGAGGGAGTTTTACCCTTGCACCCTTCAGGTCATAACATATTACATAACACAGTAACTATCTCTTTTGCTATCACTCATGTCTTTAAAGCTCTGTATAGCTCATTGATTTATTCTCCCACTGCTACTACCACCATTTTGGCATAAGGGCGGTTTGAAACTTGTTAATGCAAGGCTACTGACAGTAAGTAAATCAGTCAGATTAGATCCACTTTGATAAATGAAGATGTTAAAAATTATCTTGAGGTGGTGTGAAATGGCTCTGTGACTCTTCACTGGTCTTAGGACTGAGGAAAAGGCACATTATAGTATCCCTATTGCACATCCCTGCCATACATATTTCTGAATGAGAGTCAGTCACCAATATGGACTAAAATATGCTGTTTTTCCCATAGCCTCGCTCTCTCCATGTCCCCTACCCCCAAGCAGGTTCCAGCACCCACTATAAGTTTCCCCCCTAAGGCATGTATTAGTAAGATTGCTGATTTCCCTCGGACCTTCTTTTTGCAGGTTCAGAGGCCTGTTTTTTTACCCCCTCTTGAACCATGTTATTTAAAAGATGTAGATAAAAAAAATTCTCCTTCCCCAAAGATGTTTTGCATCTGAGGACTGCTTGAAGTGATTCATATTCACTACCCATTTGTTCTTATTATAGTTAAGATGAGTCAAGCCTAAAGATGTGTGTCTACACAAGTGAAACCTTAAAACCAAAGATATAAAAAAGGTTGGAAACAAGTTAAACCTAGAAGTTTAATGTATCATAGAAAGTTTTAGATAATTTTCCTATTAGCAGCCATTACTCAACATAGCATGAACTGAAGAATATTTTCATTTCAATTTAACACTTTAGTGACATCTGAGTTTTACTTCTACGGTTTATAACATAAGGTGGTGTATGTCCAAAAGACAAAATCTTTCAATAATAATCTGCCAAAATATTTTTAAAAGTACACATGTAAACCATTTTCAGATCAGTAGGTCATCTGGCCTATTATATCTTTGAACTGTATAGTTTAGATTGTAAGACAACATGGAGTGCTAAGCATACGGACAGCACTCAAAAAAAAAAAAAAAAGCCCCAAAATCCCAACAAAATGAAATCTATTTTCAAGCACAAAGTTAAAGTCTTTCTATGCCGTGCTATTCTTTTCATACTTTTATCATATCAATCTCAATGTTGCAGCAGCAGCTCTTTTTCCAATATCTTATATTAAATTACAAATTGCTAACAAATTTCCTCAATAGCAATAGTAATTCTACAGATCTTCAGACATCTTTTCTAACACATTTAAAACTCAACTCCATACAAGCCTACTGCATTTGGGTTACATTTGTATGTAGCCGAGTGCTTAGTCCCACCCTGGGAACTTCAAGATAAGTGAAGCAATATATAATCTAATATTTTTAATTTTATGTACAGGAATATAATGTATGACAACTTTGTACATGAAATACATACAGTATTTAAACATTAAAATTAACCGAATAAGAATTTACATTAGCAGTGAAACAGACATGTGCAGTCCAGTTAATACTTAGTTTAGATCTGTATATTAATCATATAAACGAACATTTAAAATGAAACTTTATAAAATAATTTACAGAAATCCTACCATCTACAAAAAGCAAAAGTGATTGTATGTGTATTGTGAGTGTGAATAACAACCAGTTGAGTGATTTGTCTCAGCCTTTAAGTAATAAAATAATTTAGAAGCAGTTCATGCAGTATGGAAGCAAAAATGATGGTAGTACCTTCAACGTTTCCTGCTATCTTGGACATCTACTGAGCATCAAACGTGGACCACTGGACACATGATAATACAATAGCCAGATGCTAATGAAAAGCACCAAGCTCAGTCCCTCCAGACAATTACTTATGTAAACATAAATATACAAGTTGATATTTTTTTTTCTACACAGTACAAATACCGGTCACAACTTCTCAGCTGTGAAAGTAGTCAATCTGTTTACTGAAAGTAGGATAGTGTTCAGACTGGGGGAGTTCCATATATTTCTATATGCAAGGTCACTAACAGAACTTCCTTGTTTTCACCAATTTACTCTGATATTTGACTGAGTGTCCTCCATGCCCTATGACATAAACATCCAGTAAGTAGGACTTGCCGGGCTGCAGGCCTTTAATTGTCTCTGTGGTAACTGCTTTCTGCAGATTTTGGCTATGAAAATATTTACAGAGGACTTTCTCTGATTTCTTCCTTGTGTCTGGACCCAAGCACTGGTTCTGTTCTCTTTTCTTTTGCTCTTCACTATAATTGTCATCCACTTCCTTTTTGTAGATGCAAAATTTGTTTCTTTCTTGTGTGCCTAGCCAGGCCACTGTGGCTGAAGAACAAGTACGAAGTTTATCGAAGGCTTTGATTCTTGTGTCTTCAGGAAGAGACGGAAATGACTGCTTATTAGGTCTTGTAGTAGCTAAGATCTTCAACATGGAGGCACCTTTCTTACTTCCTTTCAGCCTAATTAGATATTTAGCTTTTGGTTTTCCTCTAAGCTGGAACTGACGGACCTCCTCAACATTTTGAGACAAGAGAAGTTTTCCATCTCTTCTGATTTGGATCTGAATAGCGTCCAGGCACGAATGAACAAAGAAAGTAACTTTTTGGTGTGATGAAACAGGAGCAAACCGTAGAAATTTAGCCCCCTTTCTTTTGATAAACACATCTGTAACTTTCCCATCTTTCAGTTCAACCGTCTTCTGTTTGGCTTCTTCTTTAGTTCTGGCAAAGGTGCCAACATAAGCAGTACTCATATTTGTGTTAACATTTAATGCAAACATGTCAAAATAGTACTGTGTATCAGGCTTCAAATCAGACACTGTGAAAATATTCTTGTTCCCAATGCAAATCTTCTGCAGGTCAACTCTTGGCTTCGAAGACATTTGGCGACTAAGCTTCGATGATGATTTTAAGAAGATACGTTCTTTGCCAGGGTTGTTGTCCGAAGGGAAGCCAAAATGGGCAAAGTCGAAGAGGCTGAAATCCAGGCCTGGTTTTGGAGCCCTCATGAAGGCATCATCCGAATTGAGCTTAGCTTCAACAGCACAGAGGCTTTTGAAATTGTGTTCTTTATTGATGACTATGCAATACTGAATTGGCTGTTTCAGTAAAGATGCTGTAGGGCTTGGTTTCCATGCCAATGTGACTGTTGTGCGTCCAAGAGAGGTGACATCAACTCTTGGATCATAAGGTAATTCAGGATAAGGCTGGTCTGACTCTGGAGTTGTTGTTGCATACACTTTAAAATATGTATCCTTCTCAGTCGACAGCAACTCTAATTGGTACAAACCAGATGGGGAACTGGGAGACACAAAATATTCAACATCATTGCCTTTGTAAGAGAACAGTTCTGTTCCTTCTTCATTAATAATCTGTTGTTTCTGCTGCTCAAGTGGTTCTGGTTCACCTAGAATATGAACATACAAACATTTTTGTTAGAAAATGTGTCAAATGATGGTATAGGAGGAAAAAACTTATGTATCTACTTGTAAGTAAAATCTCAGAGCCCAATGAAACAGTTTCTGGGGCAGAGGATACTCCCATCATAAATGATCAGGCATAGTTAATCAATCCACTTTTGACCAAGTAGTTCTTGGGTCTTCTTATCCAATGAAACTGATTTAGAGATCCTATTATTTACAAGTCCAACAAGTTGTACGGTATGTGGTCGTTATTGAAGACAGATTCACTTTGTGTTTAAAGGCAGGCATTTGACATTTAACACTTCTACAAATGTTTCTGGAAACTAAAGAGCAAATCCTTTCTCTATAGAACAACTACTGCATGGAGAGAAGCCCTACATGCAAGCCTCCCGACATTATTACCCCACGACAAGTTGTCTCTCAAAGGGCCACCACTAGAAGTGAGAGGGAAGTGAGAGAATTCAGTTCCATGTGACACTGGTGAAACAGTGGATAGAATACTGTGTCCAGTTCTGATGCCCACAATTCAAGAAGGATATTGAGAAACTGGAGAGAGTTCAGAGAAGAGCCACAAGAACGGTTAAAGTATTAGAAAAAGTAGCTTCTAGTGACAGACTTAAGGAGCTCAATCTAGTTAACTTAACAGAGAAGATTAAGGGGTGAGTTGATTACAGTCAATAAGAACCTACATGAGGAACACAGATAATGGGCTCTTCTGTCCTGCAGAGCAAGTTGTAACACAATCCAACGGCTGGAAGGCGAAGCTAAGCAATTTCAGACTAAAAATAAATCATTTTCCAAGGAGAATAAGTAATCATTGGAACAATTTACCAAGAATTCTGGTAGATTTTCCATCACTAACCATTTTAAAATCAAGATTGGATGTTTCTCCAAAAGGTATGCTCAGGAATAATTTGGGGGAACTTTTATGGCCAGTGTTACACAGGTCAGGCTCAGTATTCAGAATGACCCCTTCTGGCCTGAGAATCTGTGCTTATTCAATCCTTGGCCTGACCCGTTGAGAGGGCCAACAAGTGTACCAATCTCTGCTAGCTGTTCTGTTTGTTTCTAGTATCTCATCACTGTCCTTCTGAAAATGGTTTGAGACTGCTAGCTCATTTCACATAAGTCACAATACCATTTCATGTCTATGATCTGGTTATTGATGGGCTTGTCACTGCTGCTACTGGAGAACTCAAACATCAAGGAGAATTCCTTGTTGGAATTAAGCTGTTTGTTAACAAATGAAATCCATAGTGCCAATAAACAAAGTTTTACTTTATCATATTTCCATACAGAATTAGAGATTTGTTTTCAAATATACATACCCCTCCCTCTGCTCTCCATTAACTCCCTAGTCACTCTTCTGCTTAGATTTATAACCTACTTTCTGCCTTGTTTACTCCTAGTTCTTTCTCTTGAAGTTTCCTTTAGCAGAGATTAGTGCATCCCAATGTGTCAAACTTACCTGGAGAACTGCCAGTCATTTTTCTATTACCTATCGCTCGGGGAGTGTATTCCTCTTTGACTCTCCATTTCACAGACTATTGCCTGCCTTCTAAACTAATGTGAGATTGGGTTTCATATTCAATCAGTAAGGACTCAGACATCCTCTTAAAAGTTACACACAGTTGTGTGATGTGTGTATCACATCATCACCGATTGGGGAAGACTGGAATCAGGGAGAGAGGAAAGTCTCCTGTTATCAATTCTGAGCCATAAAGTCCCAGGATTAGAGTTTTCACTGGTTTATTACCTGAACCTTCTCCACTGGCTTCTTCTGGAAGTTCCTGCAGGCTCAGCTTCCATTCCAAAGGAGCGTCACATGGTGTTACAGTAACTGCTAAAGGAGTGTTGTCTTCTTCCACCACAAAGAAATACCTGTGCAAGATGAACAAAAGTTTAATATTAATTATGACAACAAATAGCAGCTGACATTAATCTAGGCTGATGTTCATAGGATATCAGAGACAAATCAATAAAGATATAAATGAGAAAAAATATGATGTAACCCACTACTTAAGTTGAAAGTTCTTTTAGGCACGGAGCACCTCTTTGTATGTGCTTGTACTGTGTCTAGCACCATGGGTCTTCTATGCATAATTGTAATGTAAAGCATTATCGTATAACATGAAAATATACATAAAGTCTCATACCTGCTACCATTCAAGCTAATAGCAAAACTCCCAACTGACAAATCAGAGCAGGATGGGACCTTGTATGTCTTAATTTCTATGGTCTCATATACGTTTACACTGCACGCTTATTTCAAAATAAGCTATTCCAGAAGAAATACTCTGAAATAGCTTATTTTGAAATAGCACGTCTACACTACAGGGAAGCCTCAAAATTAGTCTGAGGCAGGCTTTCCTAATGTGGATGTGCTACCTCAATTTAGAGCCCTAGGAGGCACTGAGGAGTAATTACTTTAAATGGCCATTGGGAGGAGCTATTTCGAAATAGCAGCAGTGGAGCATCCATACTGCTGCTATTCCAAAATAGCCATTTCAGAACTGGCATTATTCCTCATAGAATGAGGTTTACAGAAGTCCGAAGAAGCCACCCATTATTTCGAAGTAATGGAACTTCTGTGTAGATGCTTGCATTGTTTTTTTCGAATAATGGCTGTTATTCCAAAATAACACAGCTGTGTAGATGCACCCTTTCTGGCATAGTAAACTGCTTTTAAGAACTATTTGAGGTATACCAAGTACCATGAAGTCCATGTGAACAGTTCTTGCTTTTCTCCAAAAAGTGAGTGAAAATACTTTGTGCTTTCGAATATACAAATTTTGTTTTTATTTTATATTGCTTTCCATAGATCTTAAATGGGAGAAAAGGCAAACTGGAGAACACGAATTCTTGAAAAGCAATTATTTCTGATTTGTATGTTATAAGCTCTAGATTCTGATAGTTTTATACTACATCAGTTTTTACCCAGAGATGAAATCCCACCCTCACTCAAGTCACTGGCGAAACTCTTATACATTTCATTTCATACTTGATGCAATCCTTCATGGTCCTTTCAGGCCAACTTAAACTGACTCTCTCCATACTTAATTCAAAGTGGAGTGTCTAAATATATCAAAAAAGAAAAAAGTATTTACTTAATTTGTTAATCTGTGGTGGGTTAATTATTATGGATATTTCTGGTCTTATTTGGGTTGTTTGGTTGGTTGATTTTTTTAAATAGAATATGACTAATTCTTTTCAATTTATCACATTGACCATTTAATCTATTCAGTGACTATAAAGTAAAACAAATTCTCTATATACTTCAACACTTCCATTTACCACACAGAGAACTGAGGATTTGGGGGTGGATTTTTTTTTTGGGGGGGGGGAGGCAAGGTGATTGAATTTTGCTTTGTGTTTTTGGGTTTCAGTAAGGCTACGTCTAGACTGGCCCCTAATTCCGGAAAAGTCATGCAAAGCAGGTAAGTCAGAATAGGGAAATCCGCGGGGGATTTAAATATCCCCCGCGGGATTTAAATAAACATGTCCGCCGCTTTTTTTCCGGCTTGGGGGAAAAGCCGGAAAAAAGCGTCTAGACTGGCGCGATCCTCCGGAATAAAGCCCTTTTCCGGAGGATCTCTTATTCCTACTTGAAAGAAAGCGGCGGAAAAAAAGCGGCGGACATGTTTATTTAAATCCCGCGGGGGATATTTAAATCCCCCGCGGATTTCCCTATTCTGACTTACCTGCTTTGCATGACTTTTCCGGAATTAGGGGCCAGTCTAGACGTAGCCTAAAAGTATATGAAAACAGGATGTTGGAAGAGCCCTACAAAATTGGTTTCCTTTTAATTTCCCCCTCTCAAACCCGGTTTGTGGCCTCGCTTCAGGAAAATGTTGTGATTTGTGGAGTCTCTGGACTCACACAGAAAGTGAAAAGTAACTGAATGAGGTTGGGGTTCAGCATGGGTAGGGGGCCTACTGAGACTGAAACAGACACTGTTGCTTTACAATGCAAGAATTTTTCATATTTGGATCTAAAAATTGATTCCAATAGAGTCAAAACAAATAAGTTATATTTAAAGCCCTATAAATTATACTAGTCAACATACTTTTTAGGTGCATCTCTGAAGAGAAAGCTGCTAATTTCAGCTCCATCTGGAATTACTGATGAATCATGGAAAAATGCTTTGTCCCGGATTTGCATCTGAAAAAGTTCCTCATCTCTGGTAGGTAATTTCTGTGTCCTGGAGTTGAGTGGGAGCAGCAGCAAGAACCCAAACCAAAGGAGCAAAAGCATCCTGCAGCAACAAAAGGAATTCATTTGTTGAATTCTGAGTGACAAGCATACTAGAAACTTATTTTTTGATACATGGTGTTATTGTTTCATTTTAATTGTAGATCTTCATTATTTGGAGTATATATCACACCAGGAAAGATGAGATTTTCTTAAAGCAATGTTTTTCTCATAACTTTGGGTCAAATTCTTAGGCAATGTAAACTGTGTTGCATCTGACATTAATTTACCCCAGGAGAGGACCTGGCCCTTTAGATCTACTATATTCTTAAGCAAATTATATTTAAAATAGATGGTGCCCAAATATTTAAATGTTTTCCAAAGCTGTAAAAAAATGCTGAGAGGGTACAAATTGAAGGGTCTCTTGTATCCCTGATGTGCACATATAGCGTGAATGGTAGTAGTTACATATGTGCTTTATATTTCAGGGGAACCTTCAGTACATATGGATAACTATACATAAATATACTATGGAGAGGAAAAATCTTATCGAGGACCTTACAAAAGCATCTAAATAGGACTTTTTCCATCTCCAACTTCTATCATAATTGAAAGTGAACCCACCGATTTCAAAGTGAATCCATTTGTTGGGTATTTCTCTTTCATTCTATGTATTAAACACGTTTTTGTAGATCTATAATTTGACATTTTGCAACAATGAAATAGAACTTGCTGGATCTGAGAGCAAGCCACTAACACACGGCAAATATGAGTTATGTTGACATCCCTTTCTTTAAAATATTTTGGTTGGACTCCTAGCAATCTTTGAAAAGTAAAGACTTCCAGTCAAATTACCCTTTATAAAAATAGTGAATAAGGAATATATAAGATATTTTTCCATATACATTCAAAGCACATTGATATTAGAATGCCATTCACCAGTGCTTAGTCTTGGGTCTGGTGGAAATTCCAAAACACAAAGGCAAAGAATCCTTTACAAATTAGGAACAATAATTCATAACCCCATGACTTTCATTATTATGTCTACAACTAGGCCAGTAATGACTACTCTAGATCTATAAATTCTTCCTCAGTACAGTACATGATCTAATATGCAATGGATGTGATACATAAAAAAACCCAGCTCACTTACAAGAATAGTAGAGGGCATTCAAATTATATTTTGATAAAAGTTACAAAATTAGTGGAGAGATTTCTAGGCCTCTGCCATCTGTATTTCAACAAGTTTGGTGAACCAAGTCTGTATTGTCATTTTTATTTTACTGTACTTGCTATTACTAGTGCTATGTATATGGGTTTAAAACATTCTTCTGAGCTACAGGGTAGGTTGATTATACCTTTATAACACATTTTCTTCTTTAGATCAAATCTTACAAAGTGCTTTCTACCCCTACTTGACCATTCTTTGACAGCTTATGTGAAATATCAAGCCCATGACTCCTTGGAAAGCTCTGTGTGTGTGTGTGTCTGTGTCATTTCAGTCATAATAAACCTGCTCTTCTCCTTCAACTTCTTTATGAAAATAGAAACACTCAACTCCAATAGGAGCATCAACTGGCCTCCTCCTTTCCCCTGCAGGGGACAGCCTCTATGACACTCCCAAAGAACAGAAGCAGCCAGTCCCTCTCAGCCAGCGTACCTCCTTTCCTCTCACCCCTTCTCAGCAGAGACAACCAGACACAAGATCCCAAGGGTTCCCCCTCACTCCCTTCCACATTGTGGAGACTCAACAAGTTTCTCCATCTTCTCTCTTTTGCAGGACAGTCTACGAAAGGCTCCATTTGCCCCTCAATAGTGCCAGCAGGCTATCAGCAGGAGGTGGCAATTGGCAGCCTCCTTCTCTTCCCTCCACACAAACCTTTGTTAGAACTTTGAGACATTGGGTCCCAACAGCTCTCTCCCCTGTACTTCCACCACAGGGAGCACAAGCAAGGCCTCTTCCTCTTTTCCATCTTCACCTCCAATTGTGCCTGGAGAACAGCTTTGGAGATCTTTCTGGGATAGTCAGCTCCCCTTTCATACACAGTTAAAACTCTAGATTGCTTCAGTTCTCATGGAATCTGACACTATTCTTGTTCCCATTAAATGGCTACATCTGCCTTTAATATCATTGTCATTTAATTGCTCCTTCCATCCACAGTGTGCTTTTAAACTTTCTGCCTGTGTGTACCCATAGGTTCTTTGCATCTTCCTTTTCCTCTTCCCTTTGCCTTATCCCTTGACTTCTCTCCTACCTACTACCATCTGCTGTGGGAAAATCCATAGGAAAGAGATGTGAAAGAAAGAATGGAGTGAGGTTCGCCTTGCAGAGTCGCATATTTTTCCTTCAGAAGGATTGTTCATCTTGGTGAGGTCCCAAGGCCCTTTCAGAGCACCCAGAAAAGAGCTTGGGATGCACCAAAGTTAGTTAAAGCTGCACAATACTCTCATTATTATAATTAATTGGAGAAGGTCCTGAGAAGAGCAACAAAAATAATTAAAGGTCTAGAAAACATGACCTATGAGGGAAGACAAAGAATTGGGCTTTAGTTTAGGAAAAAAAGAGGACATGATAGCAGTTTTCAAATACCTAAAGAGTGTTATAAGGAGGAGGGAGAAAAATTGTTCCCCTTGGCCTCTGATGATAGGACAAGAAGCAATGGGCTTAAATTGCAGCAAGGGAGATTTAGACTGGACATTAGGAAAAAACTTCCTCACTGTCAGGGTGGTTAAACTCTGGAATAAATTGCGTAAGGAGGTGTATTACTATCACTGGAGATATTTAAAGGCAGGTTAGACAGACATCTATCCAGGATGGTCTAGATGGTGCTTGGTCCTGCCGTGAGGACAGGAGACTGGACTTGATGACCTCTTGAGGCCCCTTCCAGTTCTATGATTCTATATCCTCTGTATGGAAAGCCATCAATGTGTTGGACATGGCTATTTTCAGCAGCAATTAAACTTTATTAAATCTGAATAGGCTGCCCCCTTATTTACTCTGTGACAGCAGTAACATGTCCTCATGACTAACAAAAGGTAGGAGGGTCCATCACTTACTGGCCTGGAGCTCCAGGGTTCCCCCCACCTCTTACCATGGTGACTGAGCATGCAGGGCCCTGCCACTAGCAGCAGCTTGGAGCTACTGAGTCTGCCCATAATGGCTAGGAGCAAAGGAGTCTCCCCTTCACTGGCTGGGATCTACAGGATTTCCCTGTTGTCCATGGGACTGGGAGCTGTGGGGTCCCCCTGCCAGCAGTGGCTTGGAACTGTAGGAGTCCCTACTGCACATGGCATCTGGAAGCTTGGGGTGCCCTGTCAAGCAGCTAGGAGTTGAAGGAGGCCCCACTCACATCTCCAGCCCCACTGCTCTGGGGCGGATGCAAAAAGGTCATGGAGGTTTCTGGAAGTCATGAATTCCACTACTTCCATGACCTTTGTGACAAAATCTTTGCCTTGTTTATCATAGAATCATAGAACTGGAAGAGACCTCAGAAGGTCATCAAGTCCAGCCCCCTGCTCTAGGTAGGACCAATTCCAACTATATCAACCCGGCCAAGGCTTTGTCAAGCCGAGACTTAAACACCTCTAGGGATGGAGACTCCATTACTTCCCTAGGTAACCCATTCCAGTGCTTCACCACCCTCCTAGTGAAATAGTTTTTCCTAATATCCAACCTGGACCTCTCCCACCACAACTTGAGACCATTGCTCCTTGTTCT